CAGAATTGTTACACCCACAAACTTAAAAGACAGCGAAAATGATTGAATTTGCAATATTGCTTTGTCATAGATGACAATAGAATCCAACCCAATTAAGCTGTGATACCTGTCAATCTACCTGTCAACCACTTCCTGGCAGAACTAAGGATACCTGGGCTTCCTGTAACTTTTTGTTGTTTTTTCCTAGCTTGGTGGAATTCATTATGACTCAACAATTTCCAAGGAAAGTCACTCCACTAAGGATTTTTGCCTACTACAGTAGTACCACCAAGCCACAGGTCTTTTGGTTGGGGTTATTGACTTTAAAACCTAAAGTAAATTAAAGGTTCTTGGTTTGACTACCTCTATCCAACAGAGTTTCTATTCATGATCTAATTAAAAGGGGCTCAAAGTGTGGCTCTCACCCACATGTTAGGACAATGATTAATTATGATCTAATTATCACTTTTCTAATAATCCAGACTACCCAGTATATACACACAAAGTGAGCTGACTGTGAATGTTTGCCCGGTCTTTACCCCTATTCTAGTATCCCCCTATAAAATTAGGTTACAATGTCAGACTTTGGGCCTTATGACTGATCATTTGACATTTACCAAGTCGGTGTCACATTTGTTAGAACGGAAGTTGGATCCAGGGTTAGATACTCCAAATTTTTCACATAGAATCCTGGTACATCATACTACATATACAGTAAGGATAGGTTTTGTGATAACAGGGGGAACAGAGGTTTTTGTCGTGTTTTAGGTTCAGTACATCATTAACACAATGCAAGACAGAGTACATTATACTACTACATAATTGCAATAAGAGGTCACTAAAAAAAACTGCCAGCACAAAACCACTCCAAATATTTCCCAAGTTCCTGGAGGGAACGAAAGACCTGACCTTGAGTTTCTTGACCTAGTTTCATCCCATTTCTACTCCCTTATGTAAAATACAGCTTTGCATTCTTTTGGAAATGGGTCCTGGGATGTGAGTGTGCACAGGACTAGAATTTGGACATATGATCATCATGCTTTGACATTTTGATTCAAAAAGGAATGTCACGTTGTCTGCCAAGTGCCATCCCTCGTGGAATCATAGTGAAAACCAATGTTAGAATACCCTGAATGTATAGCATCCCCTAGTCATCTAAAGTTTCAAACTTTTGGCCCTTCTATCCCTTTTCCCCCTTTTTTCTAGAAAAATACTCATCGCTATTCTTTTGCGACTTTTACCAGTGAGGACACTACTAATAAACAGGCCTCCTGTGGTGTACAGCCTAATTATCATCTAGTTATCACCTTCTTTGTGATCCATAAGATACAGAGAAGAACAGGAAACAGTCTGTTATCACCTACTTATCACCTTCCTAGGAGCCCAGACTAATTAGATTAGGACATAAGCCAATCAGAAGTCTTTCTACTGTTCTTATAGAGTGAAGAACAGAAAATGGTGACTTGTTTTGATCCTTGTATAGATTCTAAAAGAGAGATGAACTTTTTTGTAAGTCTGCATCAATTTATTTTCTTGCTTCTTGTATGTTTTAAAGTACAAATTTACAGATTTTTCCAGCTGACCCAGCTTTCATATTGACCTTCTTGTTCAGCACATTTTTTTTATTCTGGAGTCAGCAAATTACTTAACTTCGTTGTTGTGAGCCTTAGTGCATTTTTTGCAGCAACTTTTCCACCTCAACTTTGTGCCCCTGCAAATATGCAGTCCCAATGCTTTAATATGACTACTGTATATGTACTACAGAATTATATTAATTGCAAAATATTCCTTTCCCCTCCTTCAGCAAATTTAAGCCCCCGCAAACATAAAGATGAATTTGCAGTAAGTACGTGCAGTTCTGCTCGAAGCAAGGTCACCCAGCAAACTCTGGAATCAAACTAATTGAAGGTTAGGATGTAGGCGGGTGGTCACTAGTATAAGTAGGACAATTACTCCTTAGTCTTTTGGCTTGAAGTAGTCGTGTGTATCGGCATGTAGGCACACTCAGTCTGTTGCTTGGTGGTATAGTTATTAATGAGGGTCTGCATGGGGGGGTCCTGGCAACGGTTAACGGTAAATTCAGCAGGGCCGATAACGCTTAACGGTAAATTCAGGACGGTCGGCAACGCTTAACGGTAAATTGACAGGCTTTTTTTCGAGCTGCACTGGATTTAATATCTTGCTTTGTGAGAAAAGGTGATCACTAAGAAAATTACGTATACCTTACATGTAATGAAGCACGCATTAAAGGTATGTGTTTCCCACCTGCCCTGGTCCCCTAATGCGTCCACAAATAAAGGGGAGTCCGAGTCAACATTGGCCAGCTTGCATTTTTTCAGTCTGCCCAGTTTTACCGATGGATTTTGAGAGGGGAGCGCCGAAGGCGCTCGTAATCCGGGGGGTCCGGGGGGATGCTCCCCCGGGAAAATTAGGATTTTTAAGCCTTCAAAAACGCAATTTCCCGCATTTTGAGAGGCAAATCATGGTGTTGAGAGTGTTTGTCGGTCCTTCTGATGTTTTCATATTTTACTCAAGATTTTTGTTAATTTGCCTGTCAAGGTTGACGGATTCGTTAAGAAAATTCTGTAACTCTCCGCAAACTTCCGGAAATTGAAGGGAAAACTGGTTCTGGCTAGAGCCGAAGGGACCGAGCGCAGAAGCGCGAGTCGAGCGCCAAAGGCGCGAGCAATGTAGGGGGGTCCGGGGGCATTCTCCCCCGGGAAATTTTGTATTTTTAAACCTTCAATGACACATTTTCCTGCACTTTGAAAGGCAAAATTAGGCGTAACGAAGAATTATTCATTAACGCTTAACGCTGAATTTAGGATGACAAATAACGTTTTACGTTGAATTAAAACGGCCAATAACGCTTCACGAGGAATATACTGATAACGCTTAACGTTGAATTAGAGCGGGCCGGCAACGATTAACGGTGAATTAAAATAGCCCATAACGGTTAACGAAAAAGGGCATGCAGACCCTCATTAATCGTTAGCAGGATAGAATAGCAGTTGTTGGCTTCTTGTTGTGTTTTATTTGTTATATTCATTAGTAATAATGGGAGTGGATGGTAGAAAATATTATGTTTATTCTAAAAATTGTCAAAGTGTGAATCATACATGTATGTCCAAATTCACACACATACACTATATATAGCAAACTTCCACACACACACACACACACACTCAGAAACAAATTCTGAGCTGAAATGTGAATAGGGTCTCCATGTCTTTTTCTGTGAGGCCAAGCTAGCTATTCTAATTCACCGTTAATTGTAGACCACCTGCCAATGAGTGTAAAGGAATAATCCAATCAATAAACTCGTGAGATAGTCTATTTGACTTCAGATAACATGTACATGTACACGAAATCTAATATCCTGCTTCTGTTGAAACTGGCCCTCTGAGTTTCTTTGCATGCCACCGAAATTCTCAGAAAAGTTTCGGCTAAATAAAAATCCCCCTTTTCACCTGAAAGCGTGATGATGCAAACAGGAACTGTTTTTACATGAGCTGACACACTTCCTTCATCACCCCACTACAGAGGGCAGGTAGGGGGCGGGGCTTGGGCTGATGCAATGCCTGACCAAGTTGTTTTTCAGCCAAGCAGACTAGTCTATTTTGTAGGGGGTGGACAGAAGCTTTAAACCTTTTGATTTGGGTTCTAATAATACTTTTAGAACAGTAATTTCAATACATTGTAGTAAATATACATGTTCTTATGTCTGATATTGGTTTTCATAAGTATGAAAGATGTTTTAAGAAATTTTGTACCCTTTATAGGAATGGTACGACCTGCTCATTTGAATGTTAGCCCAGTCTTGGCTTGGGGTTGCATCACACCACCCAGCTGGGCAGTCAGTGATTGATAGCATGTGCGGACAGAGGTAGAGGTTGTTTTCCACTTACAGCAGTGGTCTGGCTGTTTTCCACTGGCGCTCTGGTTGTTTTCCACAAGCGGGGTGGCTCTCAGCTGACAGGGCTTTATAATATAAAAGCCTGTGCTTCCATTGTCTGGGAGAGAAAAACTCTTCTTGTGTGAATAGACTAAGGTTTTTGCTGTGTCAGTGATGGGTTCGTTTTCGGTGTGTATCCACTTCGACCGTCAGCAGTACCCAGCGATACAGACGGGTATGAAATCGTGCCGGGGAGAGTACCAACAGTACGAACTCCAGTGGCCGCTGGAAGATATAGACGGTGAGGGTTACAGACTTTACAGTTGGTGTTTTATTTACTGTGTATTGTGCAGGATGTCTTTGAACTGTTACTAGTTTTTATGGCAGTTGCAAATGAATAGAAGCGGTGCTTTATAACGGTTATGTCATTCTTTTGAAGCCAATTTTATGCCTAGTGCATCAACTGTTTATGGGACGATGTCATGCAAAAAAAGAGCATGATTTTATATGAACCAAAAGGGAATTTTAAAGATTTTAAGAGTTTTAACCAGGTTTTCTTTTTTTTTTCTGTCAGGTGCTAGTCTTGGATGTTCAGTGAATTTTTGACAGAAAATGTTTTTGAGAGAAAATTTGAGCAGGAAGTAAGAAAAAGGCCAGCAGTGGATAGAACAAGATGTTGTGTATTGTAGCAAATGAAGGTGACTCTGCACTAGTGACCACCTTACTAGTAGCTTTGGGACCTCCTCACCATCACGGCCACTTTTTGGTGGTCCCTGACTGTAATAATATATGACCACCTGTATGTAAAGACCACCTTGCCTTGCATGGTCGCTGTAAACAGGTCCAACTGTTTTTCATGAAGTTTACTTGTGAAACATGCATCGTTCCTTGGGAGGGAAGTCATCTTGTCAGTCAATAAGGTCATGCCTTGGTTGGCTATACATGTACTGGTCAGCACTGGTCAGTACGTGACATGGTATGTGTCCTCGTTACTTAGTATTCTGGGGGGTCATCTCTGTCAATAGGGTTATGACTTGTTAGGCTATACGTTCACTGGTTAGTGTCAGTAACCGAGGTACATGCATGTCAGTACATGTGCACTGGTCTTCTATTCTGTATAAGGTCGGCATGACCCTCGCTTGTGACCCCCATCCCTTATAAGGGAGTGGGCTGGTAACCCTCCATTCCTTATATGGAGGTGTTTTTCCCAGTTAGTGTCTGAGACGCGGGGTTGTTTTTTCTCAATGACAGGACATGGTTTAAAGATTAGATTCTTAATGGTTTCTAAACTGTAATATGAGGTACCAGGTATGCAAACTTTATATAGTTACCTCAGTTTTGTTCTTTTATCGTTTGCTGAGCGAGCTTTCTCACCTAGCTCTGTTGAAAGGGAAGTCCTCCTGAGTGGAAAATTACAAAAAATGATGTCAAGCTTGAAGAATTACCAGTTGTTCAACTTCAAAAACAGCTGCAAAAGTCGTTGAACTCAAAACGTGGCCTTTGTCAACCGTAGACAATATGTCATGGAAAATTACTGACAATAGCTATAACTGGAAAGGTTACATTCGGCCAAGTGGGTCGAATATTTACTAAATGTCTTTTATCTTTGACCCTGTGCTTCATATTTGCTTGATATTGGCAGTGGCTTTTGGAATTGTATTGTGGTATTTTGTATGAACCTAGGTTGTTAACCTACTTAAAATGTCAATGTCCTCAAAATTCAAAATGTTATGTCCTCAAGGAGTTTATGGAAATGTCTTTTTAAATCACATGTGCTTGAATGTTCTAATAGACGAACATCATCATCAGGACGAACATCATCATCAGGACGAACATCATCATCAGGTTGTTAACCTACTTAAAATGTCAATGTCCTCAAAATTCAAAATGTTATGCCCTCAAGGAGTTTATGGAAATGTCTTTTTAAATCACATGTGCTTGAATGTTCTAATAGAAGATCAAAGATTTATATCAATAGAATTTTGAGAGTTTATGTTCAAATTGCAACAGAAATTTCTCTAATCCAACAACCATGCACTGATTATTGTACTTTGAACAAAAGATTTTTAAAAAGTAAGGATCAAAGAGCAACAACGGAAGAAATTCAAACGATGCGTTACGCGTACTGACCAGTTAGTCAGTTAGTGTGCACATGCACGTGGCTATTAACACATTTTCTCTCGGTCCAGGAACTAGGTAGAACAAACTTATGTCGCCCCAAATTAAACCTCTCTGTTTGCAATATCAAAGGTTTTCTCTCTCACGCTCAAGCCTCGTGGTACATTATATAAGAGGTGGAAGGTAAAATCCCTGTCACACATTCAGGATCTTCTTTAGCTCCTAACTACTCCCAATCAAGGTCAGAACTCAAAATCAGTCAAATTTGTCATTTTGAGCAAATACAAGTGGAATATGCCCTATTACATGGCTTGTCAGAGCCTTCTCTGGCTGATTTTTCAGCCAGAGTGCAGGCAACTTTTTTAAGACTAGTAGGCAACCTTGTATTGGAAGGCAGAGCTCATCCCGGTCCTTCCACCACAGTTTTACCTCTGTAGTCATGTACCCACTTTACACCAAGGCAGAGTGAGAAAAGTTATGCCTTTCCCAAGCCTTTCTCATGTCCAAGTTACCCTAGCTACTAGTACTTGGCCATTCAATGCTACAATTGTATTGACTGTGTTCCTCTCCTCCCATCCCAGTTGGAGACTTTGACAAGATCTGGCAGGAACACTGGTAAAGTTATGAACCCATTTTCATTTTATGCCTGGGTGGAGTGAGGTGAAGTTTTTCCTCAATACCCAAGGACACAACATCTTGCCAGGCCCACTACCCTAGCTACTTGGCCATTCAGTGCTACATTTGTATTGACTGTATTCCTCTCCTCCCATCCCAGTTGGAGACTTTGACAAGATCTGGCAGGAACACTGCGAGGACGAACAGTCGCTGAGCGAGTACGCCTGCGCCATGAGGCTGCTGGCTGTGGACCACTGGAAGAAGAAGACCCCGAGCGACCACGACCGCATCGAGTGGTGCCGGAGGACGTGCTACGAGTTCTTCCGCGGCGGGGGGCTGCTCAAGTGCCTGGAGAAGGACGAGAGGAGACGGCAGCACACGCTAGGCGGCGCGGCGAACGGGGACAGCTGTGAAACGGAGAGGAAGAGGATGAAAACAGCCGACTACAACACAATGTAAGTGTAAGAAACAGGAGGAGCCAGTAGAAACAGAAAAAAAACCTCCTGGTCCCGGGCCGGGGTTCGAACCCACAGCCCCCGGGCGCCAGCTTACAATCCAACGCTCCTACTGAATCAGCTAAAAGGTCTAGACCCATCGGCCGGGTCAGCCTGTGTAGCCTGTTACACTACAACACAATGTATGGAGTTAAATCATCCTTACTCTTCAAACTCTACGCCAAAACAGTTACTCAAGCAACTGGATATGATTTTGGAAACGGTCAGACGTTTCAGGTAGCATCCACTACCTTTCGTCAGTGACACTGGAGAGTTGTAGGAGAAAGTCAGGTTTATAAGCACAAAGTATTAATTGATATGTCAGTGAAGAGAATTTTTTGGGGAAGCCCAAAAGGAAACCGTACTTTAAACTGTACTTTTTTGGTAGTACCAGTGATGTAAATCTTGAAATGTCTGCTTTTTATTCTCATGGTTTTTGCCGTGAGCAGCCCTCAAAATCATGACACCACGAATATGTGTTTTTCACTGTAGTACCACATTTACAAATACAAATAGTCCCAGTGAAAATAAATGATTAAGGCCACTTGTCAAAAAGAAGATTAAGGCAGCACATTAAGTCTTCGATTGAGACTGAAGCACTTTAGCTATACATGGCTCATTGTTGCCAGGCAGATTTTGCATCTCATTACAGCCTACTGTATGTTAGCAGTGGTTTTATCTTCTCTATCACAAACTCAATTAGCCTGGGTACCATCCTACTTGTATGCAGGGGCTCCCACACTCGCTTCCCTAAGAAGTAGTGTGGGAGCCCCGGTATACAAGTAGGATGGTACCCAGGCTAAAACTCAATGACACCCTGAGTGTGAGTTTCGATTGCAATACTACTTACGTACCAATATGAACCTTAAACACTGCAAAAACGTCTTACGTCGGAATTAAGTCCCCAGGAAAGTAAATGATTTTACGGTAAGACTAAGAGTCTGAGGGTTTGCGTTTTCCCTAAACAGGAAACATCAGTGTAGGAGGCCTTCTCAAGTCCTGCACATCTGTTACGTTTCCTCTCCAAACATCACTAGGATCAAATTTAGATTTTAAGCATGGCCCCTGAATATAAATTTTGCTTCTAAATATCTTCCAAGGGTGTTTAAAAAGGCTTTCCTTTTTACATGTAATCAGGGTTCTAGCTAGGATTTAATTTTAGCGTAGTGGTACTGGCCGCATGTCAAGAGAGCGAAGCGACCGAGAGGGGGGATGGGGCGGAGCTTTTTAAAAAATTGAGCTAAAAAAGAGGCCATTTGAGGGATAACCAAAGGGAAAAAAATGTTATTTCTAATGTACAAAGTATCCTTGATTGGTAATTTTTCACATTTGATCTGGCATTCTTGAACAAAGAAATATGGTCACAATGCCCCTAAGCTGTATTGAAAAGTTAGCGTAGGGGGTGAAAATTATAGCGAAGGGGGCCTCTACACTACTTCGCGCTAGCTAGAACCCTGATGTTTGAAGGTTTGAAAGAAGAAATAAATATAAAGTAAAGCTGCAATGCAGTTTGACATCTTGTCACAAACAGGTGGTTCTGTTTAGCTTAAGGGATAATTTATGCAGAAAAGGGCCCTAGCAACTGTAGCTATTTATAGCCAATCCTGCGGAGAGATGTTACACGCATGTGTAATGAAGGGTTTCGCAGTTCAACAACATGTCGGCTGAGTCCTGCGTTCCAAGCAACTTCTTGAATATTTATGACATGGTCACCTTTTGACTTCTTGGCCTTATTGTGGATTCAGTGGGCAATTGATTGTCATTATGTGACTAGGCAGAAGTACATAGTACCATTACTGTGAATCCATTTATTTCCCAGAGACCTAATTGTGCTTTAAGTTCTGTAGTACAGCAGACAGTGGAAACGCGTATTTGTGGTGTCATGATTTCGCGTGAAGAGGTCACAATTGAATTTTGTTTTAAGATTAATTACAGTGCCGTTGCTGTGAATTTCTAGCTCCTTTTGTCTTTGAATTTTCCCACTGCCTCCTATAAGGCAACAGAAATGCATATATCTAGAAACTTAAGAGAGGAAACAAAATAACCTTTGATGTGCTGGGACCTTTTGGGACCTTTGACCTAACTTCCTGTCAGTGTCCCCATGTAGAAATACATGTAATGTAACATTAACAGGAAAAACAAGCAAAGACATAGACACACCGCAAATAAGTGAAGAAACACAGACTTAGGCCAAAAACAGTACATGTACCTCCTGTTGTTGAAGATAACTTGCTAACACTTATCCGTTTGTCTTCCCTATTTTAGAAGACTTCCCTTCACCAGTAAAATCCGTCTACTGGATGTGGGCAGCTGTTACAACCCCTTCATGGAGTTTGAGGACTTCCTAGCCATCGGAATCGACATTGTTCCTGCTGTAGAGGTACGCTAACATGTGGAGAAATTTTTTTATAAATCATCAACTCTAGTGATTCTGCTGGAAAACATATAATTTTTGAGCAAAAAATGTTCTTTTTATTGATAAAACTTTGTGAATCTCTTCTGGGAATGATTTGAGACGTTTAAATGCTAATGGTGATATTTTTGTCTATAATTCCAGAGTGTTTACAAGTGTGACTTTCTCAACCTGCAAGTCCAGGAGCCTCTACAACTGGCACCTGACACGATAGACACTTTCCTCCGAGGGAGTTTACGCAGCCCGCTCGAAAGAGTACCTCGCGAAATCTTCCATGTAGTCGTGTTTTCCCTTCTGTTGTCGTACTTTCCTTCGCCGTACCAGCGGTGGATATGCTGCCAGAAGGCGCACGAACTCCTCGCGTTGAACGGACTCCTGTTGATCATAACGCCGGACTCCAGCCACCAGGGACGCAACGCCGCGATGATCAAGAGCTGGAAGAAAGCGATCGAGTCCATGGGTTTCCAGAGATGGCGGTACGGCAAGGACAGGCACTTACACCTCATGGCATTCCGGAAAGTGTCAAGAGACACGGGGAACAATCTCCTGACTAACGACGCTTCGCCTGACATGCTGTACATCCCACAGGACTTCAATGAGTTTGAGGAAGAGAGCGTGTTCACGGACGATTTCACGCGGTCGGAGAGCGAGGAGAGACTATTGGTCGAGGGTTTCGGGGCGTTGCCTGAAGGAATGGACGAGCTTGACTTCAGTTAGGGTCGCTCCACGTGGTGCCATGTCTGTATTTTGTATGGTGATATTTGTAGTTAACTCTGTTCCACTGTTATGTGCCATTTTAACCCTCCAACGGTCAAAACATAGAAATCGGAGAACCAACAAATCGAATTTGGTGCAGATTTAGTTGGGTCTTCCTTTGCCAAACAAGACAAATAAGGAATACAAACAAGTGAATATATTGAAGACTAGCCAGTATCATGTGTGTATCTATATTTATGCAATATTCTTCCATGTACCTTACAGCATTTAACCCCAAAAATCTGTAACTAAAAGAGAGGGCATAAAATGACACGTTATTTGAAATCAAGATTTTCAAATACAAAGAGCTAAGATTTTCGTATTGTTTTGTCTATATGCATTTTGCTATGTAAATACATATGTATGTGTTGTCTACATGTATGTATATTTTGCAATAAATGTTATACAGTGTATACGTATATAATACTTACACTGTTATTTTGTATACTTTTTAGAGCATTGAGTACAACGCAAAGCATTGTTCATTTATTTCAGTGCAGCTAGTTTAACTACCTCTTGTTTGAATCTGTGAAAATTATTATCAAAGTTCAATATTTTTGGCAAAACCTAACTTCTGATATCAAAATGATTAAAAAATGATATTAGAATTAAAAAGGATCTCATAAAATTTAATCACTGATTCTATACTTACCAGCAAATTGCGACTATACTTTGCAGTTTTACTTGAACCTCATAACCTTCTGCGACTTCCATTTTAAAAGTTCTTAAGTCTGGAGAGTTGTGATTTAAAGGAGAAGGAAGGAAAAGGGATGGAAATGTTGTAGTAAAAATGTTTGGGGCTGCAAAGTTACTTTGAAGAATCTGGTTCAAGATTAAGTACAATTTCAAAAAAAGAAGAGAGAATGTGTGAATTGAGATGGAAAGAGAGAGAGGAGACAGAAAGTACTTTGAGCATCATTTAATCTGGAAGTTGCATAATATATTAAATCACCATGTTGGGGAAACATAATGTCAGCTGTTGTAGTTCTTGTTGATTTATAAACTCATGCAATCAAAAAGGATCTTCGTTCTGACCAAGGAGGTTATACTGACCACGTTTTATATGTTATACAATGTCACCTGGTTGCTATACACATTACATTTTGAAACTGTCTTAATTATCTCCGTTTCTTTTCTGGTTGTTCATTGGAGAAGAAATACTGGAATAAAAAAGTAAACTTGCCATATGTGTCTGGTCCTCATTAACCTATTAGAGGTTCAACCCCAGCAGCTTTCTATGGTACTACAGCAGAGCTCCCGAATCCTAGTTTTTGACATGTTCTGGACATTTTATGGTCATTACTTTGTAAGGGTAGATGGCTGTCCTCAACGTACCTAGCATGTGGAAATAAAGACGGCAACACAAGAAAACAAAAAGACAGACGCACCTAAAACAAAACTGGTTTATTGTGGAACAACTCTCCTTTAGCTGCCCACCCCTGGGTGACAGAGAGGGTGGAGTGCATAAAACAGTACAATACATCAACATACAAGTACATAAAGTTACAAAAATGTGTAACGTCGTATGTGCTTAACTTATGCTTGGTTAAACTATACACGGAATTACATGTAATACCCCTAGCCCTACTGATTCATCTACTGGGAGATTATGGATGGACCATTGTAAGATAGATGATGATTAATCCACGTTAAGGCGCTTAAGAGCCTCATGCCGCCGCCGACGTTCATAATGAGAGTCACAAGACTCTCTCGGGGCCACTTTGGGAATAATGCACGCACGCAAAAAAATACACAGATTTAAATTAAAGTAAAACTTGTAGCATCGAGGTCTTGGAAAAACCAAGAGAATGTGATGTCCGGTGGGAAGGGGACAGAGAAAGGGCGCGGGAAGCTTCCCTGGCGGCGCGTCTCGCCCGGCAGAACGGCGGACTCCTACATCAGGTACAGCAGGTACGGAGGGACGGCTGCAGGGACGCGCTGGATCGGTGAGTACTACACATCATCATCATCATCATCTATCATCCTCCGTAGAGGTGGAGCATACAAAGTTAGATCGCCAAAACTGTTTGTCATTCATCACAGAGATAAGTTCCTGTCCCTCAGCCTGTTTCAAGTTTCTTAAGTGTTATGTTTGGACGTCCAATTCTTCTCTTTGTATCAGGGTTCCAGAGTAGAAGCCTACTGGCTGGTTCTTCACTACGTACAACATGACCGGCCAAGCTTAGTCGTCGACATTTGACTACTGTAGTTACATTTGGTAACGAACCTACACCGTGCTTTATTTAAAAAAAAAAACTCGTACTACAAGCTCCATCTGTCCTTACATTTACAATTGTCTTAAGAAGCGAGAAGAAGCAAAAGCTGTATAAATGTAGTTTTACCATAGATATATTTTAGTCTACCGTCGCTATTTGCCGTGACACGTACTTAGTTCGCAATGAGCAAAACGTACAATAAAGGTCTTTCATTCATTGTCATTCATTATAAAAATGAGCACCATCTAATAATGGATTGTAAACTATAGAATGAAAAGCGCCGATTGCTGTTCACTTTTCTCTCCACTCGTTCAGCATATTTCAATACTTTAAATCCTATAGATAAATTCAATTACATTCTCAGGGGAGATAGCTAATACAGTGGTCAAATAGGGAAATGCACATGTACATTGTACATTAAAGAATGTTAAATCTTAGAGACTACATGTCAGACAATAGTTGAACATTTATTGTTGCCGCTGACATATATTCTGTACGTAATTTGCCGCATACGTATATATTCTGTACGTAGAATGACTTTATCCATACATGTATGTAGCCTTTGTTAGATTTTTAGTTGTAGAAGACCATACAAGAGTCCCTGTGCTTTCTGTTGAGTCAATAAAGAATCTGCGTAATCTTATAAGGAGAAGAACTTTATAGCACGATAATTGTATATGGTAACTAGCATGTCCAGATCACGAGATATCAAGACCGGAACTTCTGCTGCAGTACCTAGGAAAGCCGCCAGGGGGCCCAAAATCTAATCATTTCTAGGTCTCATGAAGACCTACCCACCTACCAAGTTTCATTTCAATCCATTCACGTCTTCTCGAGTTATCTTGCTAAACCACAAACACACAAACAAACACACAGACAAACGCTACTGAAAACATAACCTTCTTGGCGAAGGTAATTAAGATGTTATACGCGACAGAACAGACAGAACCATTCGGGCGCCGGTAGGGACCTAGTAGGAAAGTCTTGTCTGTCCAGCAACAAGACGACTGAATTTTATACGACACATGCACGACTATCACAAGAATTCCTTCAACGTTATTTTTCTCGGATTTGAAGATCGCTAACAGGTGTCAATCTTTTCTACCCATGTTACATAAATAATCTCTGCCACCTCAATATCCCCGGAGCGATGGAAAAAAAAACACGTCACGCATATCATCAGCTATGGTTGAGGCACTTGTCGGACAAGTTTTTCCGCATACAACCTCCCTCCCCCTAGGCGTCACTATGCAGAATAACATACTAGCCTAGCATATCACAGGGTGGTTCTGAATACGTGTTAATCGACGTGGCTGTCGCTACCACAGCATTCGGGGTAGAAGATGTCAGGTTAGTGTTGTGATGTTATTTCTTTTCCACCAATGTCAACACTTCGTCTGTGATTTGGGTTGCTTGCTTGATCAAGGGAGTGGCGCCTCTTTCGGTAACCAATTTTCGTACCTCGCTTCAGTAATTTCAGAGACGTCCTCGGGAAGACCCAAAACACGGGTCCATGTGACGGTGAGAACAACAGCCGACGGAGGTGAGCCGATTCACGTCAAATCACAACCGTCGTACGAACGTCGTACGATCGAGTGGGATAGTCGTGCATGTGTCTTGCGAAATCCCTCTGTATTGTTACGTCACAACTTTTCTACGACATCAAAATCGTACGACGACATGCGACGGATGTGACACAACGTAAAAACCATTTTTAAAAAGCTGTGGTGGACTTAGAAATTGATATCTTTTCGTAATCATCGTCAAAAATCCTTGTTTTTTTTAAATGTAAGAGAACTTTGGTGACAGAACTGATACCCTTTTGACAAAATATGTTCGCCATCTTGTGTCCTCCGGTCAGCACATACCAAAATGGCGCTGGCCTGGTACATGTATTTCTAGACAAGTTATACCGATCAAAAATTGTTGTGTAACTTTGAAACATAGTTAGGGATAGGTTTGAAACGAAAGTTAGACAAACGACTAACTCCGGACTTAGTCTAGCGTTTTGTTCCACACCAAAAAAAAGACTTCAAAGTTTCAAGCAGCTGTTTATCTTGAATATTAAATGAGGATAAGGAGAAAAAATTAGGCCATCTCCCATCTCCTTAGATTTCCGCATCAGCGATCCGGACAGTCGACGTGGCGGAACCAGTAACAATAGGGACACCTGTCGTGTCACCCGGTCCGACCACTTCACTTCAGTACTTCGCACGAATCTTCTCAGGACGAACAGGTGTCCGAGTCTCTTCGCTTCCAAGATTCTTAAAGATCGGCCAGAACGCGTTACCGCAGAGAAAAAGTAGCGCCAAGGAAAGCAGATATTTTCCCCGACGAGTCCATGGATTGGGCGGCGAAGATGTGACGTTTGGAGAGAGAAAAGAGGACCGGACAACCCGAGAACATCTATACTTAGCAGACAACTAGAGGCGCTCGCCCGGGAAGTCCACACGGGGCCTCCACAGGATTTCCATCAGACCAGATTTTGAAACTTAGTCTTAGATTTTCGCTGGCTCTGTGGTTGGTAGAATCGTTGTATATATCTAACAGCTGTGCGGACATCGTATAGGCAGAGATAAGGACCATACTTGGACTCTCAAGTCAAGCAAGACAGGAGAAAAAGATCTAAGATGACGTCTTATATCGACCCCCCTGCGGACCTGAGTGTCTCCAGCTCCAGATGCGCCAGTCCGGCCGTCCTGCCGGTAACCGGTTGTTACGGAAGACCAGGTATTTTCTTGTCAACAACGTCTGTTTTCTTGGTTGCGCGAGGTGTGTGTGTAGTGTACGCGGTACTAGAAGTGAAACCCAGGAAGCTTTAAAGGGAATTTCGATGTTCCTTTTTAGTAAAAGTATCTGGCTGTCGTCGCTCAGGGCCTGGTCGTGCGATCGCAAACTTCGGGCATTCTGGGGTAGTCCTGCATGTGTCGTACAAAATTTACTTGTACGTTTGTTTAAGATACTTGTGTGTGTTCAACGACGAATTCAGCGACATCAAAATGGATAGTTGACTGAATGTGCTCACTCCGCGTCTTTCTTGTCCGTAACCCATAACTTTGCAGACTGCGGCGCCAGGGAACTGCATTGTACTTCAGGTGTTTTTGAAAAGGAGAGTGCTAGTAGTTGTCTTCGTGTACTGGTAGTCATGGATCAGGTCAAGAATTTCTGCATGTACATTTCATATAATTTCGAGTCTAATTCAATTTGATTTGACTTTGATGTTTCGACTGACCCCCTTTTCTGCACGAAGACATATAGCCATTGTTATCCATCAGTCAAATGCCACAGGGCTAGCCCTGGCGACTGAACAATATAAAGAATACAATATAAAGGCGTTTTAGCACATACAAAGCAATGCTTAAGTTTCCGGATGCAGTTTACCAAGCTTGAGTTTACTAACCTAACAAACGCAATATCTGAAAGCTACCTGGCATGATGACCATCTACTAGTATATCGCTATGCACTCGTAATACTAGTAATTAGCCTGCAGCTTCTAGCTACAGCAGCCCTTCCATTGGTCAGGAATGTCGGACGGCTCGGACCATTTCCAAGTAATCTCAGTCAACTCGCTCTCGGATCAATACCAGAGATAGTAAATTATTTAGGCACAAACACACACGGTCTTCTTTGCACGGTTCTTCTGCACATGTCGTCGGCAAAACATATATCTATCTATTTTTTTTTGCAAGTGTAGTTAACGTTAAGAACCAACTTGCAAGAAGTAAGAATAAAGGCGGGCAGTTGGGGCTTCAAACGCTTTAATGTCAGCAGTTTGAACTTAATAGAATAACTGCGTACAGAGTTACTAGTATGAATTTAAAGTTATGAAAAACGTTGGATACTGCTTTTTAATATATTTTTTTTTTTGGCCACGATTCATCCATTTTTTGTCCACTATGTTCTGCCGAGTTGACCGAGCCGATTTGCCTTGGGCAGAGTTGGTAATGGTCCTAGTCAGCCTGACACCATTGGTCAAGCCCCTAGCAGGAGGCCCAATCAGTAGCCTCCAACAGCGATTAACACGTAACACCTTCGAAGGAATGATGTCACAGGGTTGTCATCTTCAGGCGGTGCGCAAACACCTGTGAAATAGGCCGATGTCTGTGGCGTTCTTTTAGGAGAAGTCCTTTTCGCATGTAGCGTTGAAGTTTTACTTGGTGTAAGAAGGACGATGATGGGGTCAAGCTCCTTTTGTAGTGTGGATTTTTCAGTGCGAAGCCGTATTTTTTTCTGTCGCGCTGTGACACAGTTTGTAATTGTCCTGGAATGTAGTAGTACAGGTTTGGGCGAGTGTAACAATGTACTGCGCAGTGATCGTTAGTACATAGTTTGCAAAGCGCCTGTCAAAAAATGATCAATCAAAACTTGTTCAACAAGTGGATGCACCAACCAAAGGAAACCAACAATTTCACCGGAAAATGTGATTTTTACAATCGGATTAGAAAAACTTTTTGAAAACACAAATTCAACAATATTTTTCAAAAGAAATCTTTACTAAAGTAAGTAACAACACTTGACTAGGGACAACACTAAATACTAGGGACAAATGTGAAAGTATACAAACCTTCAACATTTTTCACGCGTGTCATTGTTTATTAACTCGAATGTAATTTTTTTCAGACCCACAGATCGTCAATGTGCGAGTGTCGCCTCCCAATAGTTCTACTAGTTTAGCAGGTAACGTGGTGTATTCTCCGTTCGTTTGTTGACTACATAAAGCCCGGTCACATTTGACGAATCTAGGACATTAAACATTGCACACGTATATGAAAGCTTTTATACATGTAGTGCAATCACCGCGCACCATATTAAATAAAAGTTTATTCGTTTGAAGGGCAAAAATCGTGCAAAGTCACCTATAGGCCACTGTTTGTTAACGTGAATATAATTGGGTCAACAATTACTCATGTATTCAGCATGTGACAGCGCTTCGAATTCGTGTTCTGTTGTTTACATTACTGCGTTTGACTTGTGTGAGAACATGCACGTAGGCCTGTAAAGGCAGATAAAATGATTAATCGAAAAAATCTTTTAAATTCAGTATGTTGTTGGAATGTCCTTATTATCCTTTTTAAGGTGGATTGGTACGAACATTGTATACGTAGCAAAAAATGAATGATTCTCACGGTGTAACACAATGCAAAGACCAAAAACAACTTGCACAGACATCACCTTAATTTATTACTACAATGATGTGAAGATATAACGTTCCTTTTGTTGTTACTCCGTGAAGGAGGTCAGGACCTCCGGACGGAGTGTTGTAATCGGCTGATTTTTCATGTTCGCAGTCAAAACACTGGGTTCTCTTTGTGTAATCGGCACGCAATTTGATACGCCGTCTGCGGGCATGCCCGTGTTGATGCACGAATGTGTATTTTTGCCGTTGCTGCTTTCGCGGTCAATGTAATATCGCAGACGCACCCCTACAATTACGAGGCGAATTGGAACGGTCCAGAAAAACGCGTTGTTTGGAATAGCGGGGGGGGAGGTAAAAGTTCATGCAGATACGGGGTGGTTTTTATAAGTGGTTCCAGATGTTTTTGCCCATGGTTAAGAGATGCCAAGTTTTTTGGAAGATGTTCGCAGCCAGAACGCATTCTGCCGTACGTCGCATATCTGTGTAATTTCGCATGTGGTGTTGCATTATGTCCGGGATGATGCACGTCTTTTTATTTTTACCGTAGCTGTTTTGATATTGGAGTAAATGCATATTTTAGAAACATCCCTACTTTTACAATCCTGTGGAATAGGCCGTAGGTTTAGGCAGTTGTCTGGTAGCAGAGGTACTGTAAGCAGATATCCTGGTTATCTGGCCGACGGTAGTAACACTCGCGGTGATTACGGCAACTCCAGGCGCGCTGGAATTCCAGGCGCGCTTAATTAGGTACAGGCACGGTAAGACGGTTGGGCCTGTCTTTGTTACTAGACACGACCATGATAGTCCGATCTTTATATGAATGCAA